CTGGGAACTGGGGCACATTGTCTTTGATTGACAGCTCTCTCTTGTAGACACACAACTCTATAGGAAGTAGAGATGTGTCGGTTGCGAACGAACCGGCTCTAAGAGTCGGCTCTTTGAAGTGAACGACGGGAGCCAGCTCGTCATTGGGAGCCCCCCCCCCCCCTGCTTTGGTGAATGCTACAGGCGATTGGTCAGCATGTGCAACTGCGTGTCCAGACTGTCCACACACAGAGCAGTGGGGGCGGGGAAGAGGGAGGATCAGACTCAGACACACAGCAGAGCACATGCAGGTGGAGGGAGACGAGAGGGAATGAGGAGGAGGAAAAAGGTGAGCGAGAGCGAGGAGAGTGCGACGGTGAGAAAATGAGCGCCGGCAGTCGGAAAGTGGAGATTTCTTAAAGTGCTCTGTTATTAAATCCATAGAAATGATAAATATTTGATATATTGCATTTTTTATTACATTAGTAAATAATTTTACATAAAGTTTTGCATTTTTCGGTTATAAATGTACTCTACGCCACAGAAAATCTGAGGAGCCACTTGGGAGCCGAAGGAGCCGGCTCTTTAAAATGAACCAGAATCCCCATCACTAATAGGAAGCCTAAAGCCGGGCGTACACTGTGCGACTTTTTCACTCGTAGCGCTCAGCTTCAGCTCAAACTGTACGACTTCCTCGCAGGGCAGATCTCACGAGTCATGCGCTCACACTGCACGACCCAGTTCTCACATGCGACCTGACTGCTCACACTGTACGTCTGGTAGCAACACGTCGGACCTAAAAATATGCTAAAAATAGCAGTTTTTACTCAACACGTCAGACTTTTTTGTCTTGTTTTGCCTGTTGTCCTTCGGGAGTGCTGCAGGAGGACACACAGGGATTTATGGGGGTTGGATGAGGAAAACAAAATAAAGAAAGTAAATCTGTGTTTTGTGATCAGTTTAATTTGACATGAACACGACAAACACGCTTTCTTGACAATCCTTGTCATTGTGTGTAAAAAAACATGTAGAAATAAAATCAAACAACGTGTGTTATAGGGAAATAGCAAGCGAGCGGGGTTGACGCATGATTGCACATGCGCCATGAGCCATTCTGGTACTTTTTGGGTCGCAGCCGCTTGCTGCACCGCTTCAACCCTCTCGAGGAACGAGCAAAATATCAAACACTCCAGAAGTCCGTGCGAGCTCACGATTGCTGATCGGCGGCTGGTCACGTGGTGTTAATCGCCTCTCGTAACCCCCTGTACACTACACGACGCTCAGCGCAAAACTCGCCCCGATCTTGTGGATTCTCGCACGAGTGGAAAATCGGCTCAAAAAAGTGAAAAAGTCGCACAGTGTACGCCCGGTTTAAGTTTACTTCCGCATCATGGGTCCCTAGAAGAACGAAAAAATGGATGCAAGTCGATGGGGCTAAAAACGCTATTTTCTTAAAGGCTAGGTTATCCAGAGTTATCTCTGTAGTTATGCTGCTATAGGCTTAGACTGCTGGAGGATACACTGACCACTTTCCACACTCTACTGCTTTCTTCTACAATCTGCTCTTTAACTGTATTATTTCCTGCTATTTCAGCTGTTAACTTTATTTGTTCCCTAAGTTTTTCTCCCCAGAAGAAGCTACAATGATGATCTGCTGAGCTGTGGTGGCCTCATGGAGGGGGCCATCAGCTTGAGCACTGCTGCTAACCACTTAAACATTCTCCCTCTCCTGATAATAACTTTTTACTTTCTTTGACACTGAATGTGCTACTACTAGTTTACCCGTTTAATTATAGATCCACTAGGATAAATACAATAAAGTTTATCTCTCACCAAAGAGAATATTTACTAAGACATCACAATAGAACTATAGACACATTACTTTGTATATGTATATATATATATATATTGTGTGTGTGTGTGTGTGTGTGTGTGTGTGTGTGTGTGTGTGTGTGTGTGTGTGTGTGTGTGTGTGTGTGTGTGTGTGTGTGTGTGTGTGTGTGTGCGTCTGCTCTGTCTTCTCCATCCCCAGTGAGTCGTGGAGGATGGCTGCTTATACTGAGCCAGGATCCTCTGGAGGTTTCTTCCTGTTAAAAGGGAGTTTTTCTCTCCACTGTCGCTAAATGCTTGCTTAGTATGAGGATTGCTGTAAAGTCACTGACACTAGTCAGTGACTTGATGCAATTTGCTGGGTTCCTTATACAGGAAACTTTATTCTGATTGGCTTAATGAACTTATCTATATTGGAATGTTTATTATGTGAAGTGCCTTGAAACGACTCTTGTTGTGATTTGGCGCTTTATAAGTAAACTTGAATTGAAACTTGAATTAATCCGCTTTGCCTTATGCCCTGGATTACACATATGTTGTACTGCAATCTAAATGAAAAGTAAGGATGGGTGTTTTGACCATCGTGTACTTTGAGATTTATTAGCTTGTAAAAGTTCGTAATTAGCATGATTACAAACTAAAAGTCTGCACGTCACAAATGTGACGTCACCACATAATCACCTTACCAAATGACCAGATTTGTGGTGTTTCTTTCCTTCTGTGGGAAGTTTGCTGAACTTACAGCCCTTTTCCCTCAGTTTTCTCCGTGTCCGGTAAGATGACGTGCATTTGCAGTCTTGGACTTATTTTCACACAAAACCTAAAATAGCGTTTCCCCCGTTCAAAAATAAGCGCATTCTTGGTATCAAAATCTGTCTGTAAAATTCACAGACATCATACGTGAAATCCATGGCACAAAACAAGCAGAATTAGAAAATAGCGTTTTTAGCTCCATTGACTTGCATTCATATTTTCATTTTTCCGGGGACCTGTGATGCGGACGTAGATGGGCGTGGCTTAGGCTCCCTATTAGTCAATGCTCTAGCCACGTGTCAATGATTGGATTTGCTGTAAAGGGTAGGAGAGGCACTTAGGGAAACTATAAATGATAAAATACTTAGATGATAGAACAGGGCCAGCAGCCAAGTTAAACATTTTAACGTTACTTTAAAGTTCAGGCTCACTGAGAAACTGTCACTTGTTTTTTTTTTTTTTTTTTTTTTTTGGTTTAACATGAAGGCTAAACATAAAAGTAGTCTTCGACATCTAGTTCTTGCATTAGCCGCTGATAGAAAGAAGAAAAGCTAATTGCACGTCACATTGTCAAGTATGATCACAAACTCACCCGTTTTGGCTAGAGATTGGAAGGCTGTAGTTTTTTTAGCTTCCAGAGAGAGCAGAGCATGTCTCAGCTAGCAGAAGCTAACAGTTAGCATTAACAACTCCACCACACAGCAGAACTTCTCCAGGCTTGTGCTATCTGTGGCGATAAAACATCAACATTGCAAAGCAAATGGAGTTGCGTTGCTGTTAACCAATCAGAGATGATATGTCCAAATATCAGGAAGGATTCCAAATATTCTGCTTACTTCTGCTCCCCTTCGATCTGGCCACCTCCTAGTTCCTGAAACAGAAATGCCAGAGCAAGACAAGAGTCGTCTCAAGGCTTCGACTTCAGCTCAAACTGTACGACTTCCTCGCAGAGCAGATCTCACGAGCCATGTGCTCACACTGTACGACCAAGTTCTCGGATGCGACCTGACTGCTCACGCTGTACGTCTGGTAGCAACACGTCTGACCTAAAAATATGTTAAAAATAGCTGTTTTTACACAACACGTCAGACTTTTTTTTGTGTAGTTACTAATGTCTGTTGTCCTTCGGGAGTGCTGCAGGAGGACACGTAGGGATTTATGGGGGTTGGCTGAGGAAAATGAAATAAATAAAGTAAATCTGTGTTTTGTGATCAGTTTAATTTGACATGAACACGACAAACGATCCTTGTCATTGTGTGTGTGTGTAATAAAAAGTGTAGAAATTAAAACAAACAACATGTGTTAGTAGGAAATAGCTGGCGACCGGTGTTGAAGCATGATTGCGCATGCGCTGTGAGCAGTTCTGGTCCTTTTTGGGTCGCAGCTGCTCACGATTGCTGATCGGTAGCTGGTCACGTGGTGTTAATTGCCCCTTGTAACCCCCTGTATACTAGACTCGTTCACTCGGCGCAAAACTCGCCTCGAACTTGTGAATTCTTGCATAGTAAGCGCTAGTCTAACGCTATTGGTTGGTTCTGGTCGGAGCTCAGTTTCCTATTGCACGGAGCTCTGCGGGGCGTGCTTAGCAAAGAAAAAAGACGTAGTGCTTACATGACACCACAGTACATGATGAGAACATCACTTTTACGGATTTCTGAAAAGTCATGCATCATTTCTAAGGGAGAACTCTGGAAAGCAGCTTTAACAGCAGGAGGAAAAGAAAGCCTGCAGCCTTATCGCTGAAATGGCAAAGCACACCGATGCGTTTTAGACGTGCTTTAAAAGAGGACAAGCAATCAGCTGTCCTCACTCCAGGCTTGGACTGGTCCACGGGACGGGCCATTGCAGAGAAGGGACGGGACATACGGCTCCATCAGGTCCCACATAAGAGGGAGCTAAGCCATGCAAACGTTTAAAAACCAGCAGCAATATCTTACAGTCCCTCCAGCAGTACAGCGGGGGTGTGATCATACTTCCGTGCCCCTGTGAGAAGGCCTGCTGCTGCGTTTGGGACATCCTGTAGGCGGCTGACTGAGGCAGTCCAGCCTTGAAGTAATCGTGACATAAATGAAACCATAAATGACTGAATACCTCATGTGATGTTTTATCTGTCGCAGTTTCAACCCCTCCTCTTTTGTCCGGGCTTGGGACCGGCAGAAGTGACCCAAAGAGGGCACTCTGGCAGAGTTGGTTGGTTTTTTTTTTTTGTTTTGTTTTTTTCATTCAATTCAATAAAATTGAATTCTCTTTAGCTTTATTAAATTGAATCCAGTTTACAGGCTCCTCAACCCTCCCACTGTCTTCACTCCAAATCAAATCATTAAACAAGTGATGGAGTTCATTATTAGTTCAATGTTTTCTATGTAATGAAACCCAGCTGATGGCTGTAAAGTCACAGATTAGTTGAGTCAGTGACTTTTCAGCAATCCCCTTACTGAGCTACAGCGGAGAGGAAAGCTCCTGTTAACAGGAAGAAACCTTGAAGACTTTAGTTTCTGCGTTTTATAAAAGCCAAGGGTGCGTTTGGAGCTGCTTTAAGGTGGGACGTCGCCATGGGGTTCTCATGAAGCAGCTCTTTAGGAGTCTCTTACAGTCTGGAGAGAGATCCGTCCTGATTTTGAGTTCATTTTTGAGAAATTTTGTAGAGTCAAACAAACTTTGGTGAAGCATTTCATAGAGAACAACCCCCACCTGCCACACGGTTGCTGGTCCTGCCTCGTAAACGCTTTTAGAAATGTACTCAGGAGGGGCGTGCTTCTCTGTGCCGTAGAACCAGCCGTCTTCATACTCTCTGTCGGTGAAACAACTCAGTCCAAAGTCAATCACTCGCAGTTGAGGGATTTCTGATCCTGTTTCAATCAGGATATTTTGAGGTTTGATGTCTCTGTGGAAGATGTTGGTGTCCTCCAGATGTTTGACAGCATCAACCAGCTGTTTTACAATAGTTTTAGCCTGGTTCTCCTGTAGAGGCCCTTTGTTATTTTCAATAAACTGTGACAGGTCCACTGCAGGCACTGGTCTCTCCAACACCAGAATCTGTTCTTCGTTTAAGTCGTACCAGTCCAGGAGGGAAACTGGAGCTGACTTCCCCACCGAACTGGTTTCCTCTTTCTGAAGTTTTAGCATGACGGCTACCTCAACAGAGAGCTGCTGGCCATTCTCGTTCGTATCAGTCCAGACGACATTTTCCTTCGGTATGTATTTGACTGCCACTGGCAAATTGTCTGCCCTGCGGTAGCCACCATAAACAGATCCACAGCCACCCTTTCCGAGTTGGTGTTGTTGCTCGTATTTTGCGTCAAATAGCTCTTTAGCTGAAGGCGAGGGACTTTCAGAAGCTAACGGTCTGAGTCTCTTTGCTGGACTTCCAGATCCCTCACCATCCAGGCCGATTAACCTCTTTGAGGCCCTTTTTACTGGAGCCTGCATGTCTGTGGATAAACAGCCTTCATCTGAGATCCTAGACGTTTCTGTGAGAGACTTGCGATCACAAACGTTTCTGCTTTTGGCAGACGTCGATCCATTCTCAGTAACCAAACATCTGCATCCCTTTTCTGGATTTTCACCGTCAAAGGAAATGCATTTAGTTGAGAATTTCTCCGTTTGTATGATGTTAGGGTTGTTTTCAGAGAGTTTGTCTTCTTCAGAAACCTTCAACCTTTTAGTGGGAGCTTCATGGTCTGAAACCATTTTTCGTTTCTTTGATGAAACTAAACAATGATTCTCTGACAAATGTGGTCGTTCCATGCTGATGTAAGTCTCTGAATCTTCATCCAGAGCTGGAGAGCAAGTCTTGTGTGCAAGATAATTGCCCATACTGCTAAGTAAGACGTTGGCGATAAGTTGAATAACTATCGAACACAACTGTCTCTATCAGCGTCTGACTGAGAACTGAACTGCTGGGATCAAAGGCTCAAATTTATAGGCGTTGTCCCTTTGTTGTGATGTCATAAAGGGACATCATGTGTTCCACTCTAAATTTGCATAATGAGCAATTAAATATGCACATAATTATTCATGGATTTTTACTGCAGTTTTCTTTTTACATTTTCTTTTTACCTTGTTTTACCCGTCTGTCCTGTACTAGAATGTTTCACCTTTTTTTGTAATTTGAATTGCTTTTATTTCTGAATTATTCACTATATTTGTACTTCTACTGTACCATGTTCAGCGCCTTGGGCTTCCTGACAGGGTTGCAGAAGGCGCTTCATAAATAAAGCTTTGATTGATTGATTGATTGATTGATTGATTGATTGATTGATTGATTGATTGATTGATTGATTGATTGATTGATTGTCACGTTCTGCCCCTGCCTTCCTGACTGTCTCTCTCCTGCCCTGATTAGCTGTTATTGTTCTCACCTGCCCCTCCTTAACCTGCCCATGTGTTCCTGATTTCCCTGTGTATTTATACCTCCCTCCTTGTGCCAGTCTTTGTCAGATCATTGTTGTTTGTTGTGTTGTTCTTGTTCCTGCCGTATCCTGTAATTAAACCCAGTTTTACTTTATCCGTGCCTGCATTCCTGCCTCCTGGAACTCTCCACCACACATGGTCCATCATCTCGACCATCACAACGTGACATTGATTAATTGTCTTTATTAAGGGAACTGCTGCTCTACCAGCATGGCCCTTCTTATTATGCACCTTTTTCACCCCAACATCACCCAACTGTCATTATTGTTGGTTTTTCATTCTAACACCACCTAAATATCATTTTTTGGGTGTTTCACCCGAACATCACCAAATATTATGAATTTGGGGTTTTCACCCCAGCATCACTCAGACATCTTTTTGTGTGTTTTTCACCCCAATATCAACAACATATAAACATTTGTAATAATCTTTCATTTGTTTTATCACATTTTATAATTGTTTGCCTTTGTTTTTGTGATTTTAATATATTTCTGTTTCGTTTAAGATCATTATGATTTTACGACTTTATGATTTGTTTGGTTTTGATTTTGATCTATGTGAAGCACTTTGTGATTCTCTGTCTGTGGTGGGTTAGGGTTAGGTCAGGTGCTTTATAAATAAAATGTACTTACCTGCTTTACACACCTCTGTTGTTGCTTGGCTTCCTGGGGCTGGAGGCTAGGAGGGAGATCTGGCCATCTGGTTGGGGTCTGGGGTGGTGGGTTGCTGTGCTCGGCGTTGGGCGGGGGGCCTGCTCATCAGCACCCCAGCAGAAAGGGTCGAACTGTGGGAACCGGTGATGGTTGTACCCAGTGTGCAGCAGTACCGGGACCAGAGTGAATAGGGTGTGTATGGGGAGCATGAGTGGGTGTCCGGCGTGCATTTTTGTAAGTCTTGGGTTGTATGTGCATGTGTGAGCATGAGGGAGGGAGTGTGTGACTGTGTTTGTGTATGACTGTATATGTCAGGTGGGGCCTTTGACTCCTCCCCTCTCCTGGGACTTCTTTTGATGATATAGATCTTTGTCTCCCCTCCCCCTGCCACACCTGGTGTGGGGTGTGGTGCCTTGGTCTGCCTGAGTGTTCGTGGCTCCCGGGTCAGGGGGTTTAAGATTTTTGGCGTCTGCCTGGTCAATCCCGGTGGCTGCCTGGTGGGGTCTGGGTCCCCGGCGGGGGTGGTCGCCCCTGGGTCCCGGGTCGCTGGGTCCCGGGCTCGGCCGGCTAGGGGGTGGGAGGCTGCAGGCGGGCCTGTGGGCTTGCCGCTGATATCTCCCAGGACTCTGCCGGCTGCTGGTTGTGGCCCCCGGGGGCGATCCTCTGTGCCTCTCGAGGGGGGCGGGGGCCTTTCTGGTTGCAGTCTCCTTGGAGTTCCTGTGTTCTGGAGCAGCGCCTGGATCTCTGGGACTTGGAGCTCCCTCCATCTCCTACACATCTTTGGGGGCAGATCTGTGGTCTTTCACACTCTCTGTTGGACGCTCCGATAGAGAAACCTTACATAAACAAGCGCGTGTACACACACAGGTGCTCTCATAAGTATGGACTTGGACACGTTCAACACTTGTCTTAAGGCTGTGGTTGCCACTACATGCACTATGATTTATTATCGTGATTGTTCAGTAAAACAATGTTGATTTTATATTTCATCATCAGGTTGATGCAGTGATAGCCTGCTCCTGATGTATTGTTGTGTGTCCCATTTTTTTCTGCTCTTCTCTTTCTGCAGGTCTAGAAGCAGACTCTTGTTCATTATTGCTTATATTTGTGGAAACCCCCCCCCCCCCCCCCCCCCCTCTTCCCACCATTTGTCTCTTCCTTTCTCTTTCACCTCTGACTCCGTGTCTGGTCGGAATTACAAAGCATTCAGCAACAATAACAATAAAGTTTTAAGTATCAGGCGTGACATTAAAAGCAGACGCTTTGATGCTCCACCTGAGAGTAAATCTGTAAGGCTTGTTACCAGCATTCAGACATCAATTCTGTTTGCTTCACAGCCAGACAGGACACGGTTAAAATTAAAAAAAAATAAAAAGAATTCTTGCATAGTGGAAAATCGGCTCAAAAAAGTGAAACTGTCGCACAGTGTACGCCTGGATTCACTGGGGATTGAGAAGACAGAGCAGACACATGCAACTCAGCAGCAACAACACCTGTGTAGCTTTTTCTGGGGAGAAAAACACTTCAAGAGAAAATAAAGTTAACAGCTGAAGTAGCAGGAAATAATACAGTTAAAGAGCAGATTGTAGAAGAAAGCAGTAGAGTGTGAAAAGTGGTCAGTGTGTCCTCCAGCAGTCTAAGCCTATAGCAGCATAACTACAGAGATAACTCTGGATAATCTATCCTATTTAGATGGAGGCATGTTGGAGTCAGGGCAAGGGAGAGTCGTCTTTACCGACTGTACACTCCACCTCCCTCTACTCCCCCACTTGTCCAGATTTAGGCTAACATCAGATTTTAACCATAGGCCCTATCAAATAAAAATGTTTTAAACCTATTCTTAAAAGTAGACAAGGTGTCTGCTTCATGGACTAAGGCTGGGAGTTGGTTCCACAGGAGAGGAGCCTGATAACTAAAAGATCTGCCTCCCATCCTAATTTTAGATATTCTGGGAACCACCAGTAGACCTGCAGTCTGAGAGTGAAGTGCTTGGTTAGTAATGTATGGAACAATCAGATCACTGATGTATGATGGAGCTTGATTATTAAGAGCTTTATATGTGAGAAGAAGGATCTTAAAATCTATTCTGAATTTAACAGGTAGCCAATGTAGGGAAGCTAAGACAGGAGAGATATGATCTCTCTTTTTAATTCTCATCAGAACTCTAGCTGCAGCATTTTGGACAAGCTGAAGTCTTTTAACTACATTCTGTGGACTTCCTGAGAGTAATGAATTACAGTAATCCAGTCTTGATGTAATAAATGCATGAACTAGTTTTTCAGCATCACTCCTGGAAAGGATGCTTCTAATCTTAGCGATATTCCAGAGGTGGTCGAAAGCCTTCAAATGTATTTCTAGTTTACAAACCTTTCTAGAAGAGGGCCGATATTGTGAAGTTTTTTTGTCAATATTAGCCCCAAAAAATGTGATTCTTTTCAATGCGAAAGCTATTTTGTGGTGATTTTTTTTTATTTGTACTTCCCAAACAGCAAAACACTAGCCTGTTATCCTATATATGTGAATATATGGTCTGGATACAACCCATAGACAGAGCTCAGCCATGGGGCAGAATAAACGGCTGTCTTTCAAACTGTCTGCATGCCATTGGACAACAGACAACAGGATGTACTCACCTTTCTCCTAAAGAAAGATATTTGCACTGTCGCCAGACGCCATCTTTCGGTACAGCTAAAAACCGACAGCGTCGCGCGATACAGTTGTCATCTCTGTCTTTTTTCTGATTGGTTATTTTTGAGCTGGCTCATGGTACTTTCTGCCTCTGAGTATCCAAACTCCTCCTCTGTGAAGAATAGAGAGAGGGCGAGTCTGGCAGGTCAGACTGCTTGATCACACATCCTGCCCACCAAACCGATACAGCACTGTGATTGGCTCATCAAATCAGCAGAGCGCTGTGATTGGCCCATCAAATTGATAGAGCACTGTGATTGGCCCCCCAAACCAATGGAGCGCGGTGAAGGGCCGTGTTCGAGATGAGCCATTTCTGTGCACATTAGACCAGCGGTGATCGGCGAGCAGTGCATGCCGGTTAGATTTGTGTCCGAATTGACGCCGACTTGCTCTGACGTCATGCCTACGTAGGCAACGATAACCTCGTGAGATCAAGGCGGCCGCAGATTTTGGAGCAAGGCGCTGCAGTTGCTCTTCATCGGCTGCAAAACCTAGAGGATGACGGGAAACGCCTGGCTCTCACCTGATCTAAGATCTGATTGGTTCATATTTTGATCCAAACATCCGGTGGTAGAACATGAAATGTTAGTTGGTCACATGTATTCTGTAAATCATGTTACGTTGATGATAACTATATAGACCATAAAGAGAAATGTGTTTTGTGTTCTTTTGTCACGTTTCCTATGAGCACACTAAACCTACAGCTGATAACCTTTACTTACTATTACAGTCATGTCTTCATATACAATATATGATATCCACAAGCACGTGAGGATGTGTTTCAGCTGCTAACAGGCACCAGAAATAAAATAAATAATTAAACAAGTGTGAACGCGACATCTTCATCCATCGTCACCCCCGAGCTACACATGCAGGAAATTGTGTCCGACTTAAACGCCGCCGTTCAGCCACTCCCCCCGCCGCTTCCGTCTGCTCTCGTCTGTTTTCCAGGCGAGGCGCAGCTCAACTCGAACACGGCCATTGTCTCATCAAACCAGTAGAGCGCTGTGATTGGCAAAATGCAATACACATTAGGCCAATGGCAGGCCTGCTGAGGCTCATGTGGAGTGTGGCTGAACCAACATTTTGCTTCAGTTACTGTCTATCTAGCTTTTTGATGCTTCCAAAATGTGTCAAATTAGGCAAAAAGGTAAAAATATCGAACATAAAGTTTTAGAAAGTGTCAACCTGCATGCTTAGCTTACTGCAGAGACCAAAGTCATCTTTCTAAATATGCAAATAGCTCTGAGGATCATAAATGGCTCCCGGGCTGCACTTTGGACGTCGTTAAAGTTAAAGCAATTCTCTGGGGTTAATGGTCTTTGGCTGTTGCCGCCATCTTGAATGAAGTTGATCCAATTAGTTAATTGGTTGAAGACAAACATCCAATAATAACTTTCACATATTTTCATTAAACTCCATTCAGTGGTTTACAGGATATGTTTCCCTAACAGCAATGCAAACATGTTAAGTGCCTGAATAATTTTCCACGGGGCATTCTTGTCTACATCTAGCTCCACACTGGTAACATTTAGAGCACGTTTTCTGTTTGCTCAACTTAGTTCACTATGGTGGTGGCCCTCTTGAATTAGCCCACTTCCTGCTTTTTTCTTCAGTAAAATGCAAAACGGAGCCAAGAGTAAATAAGATAAAGACCAGAAACAGGAGATGATTTCATTCACCAACAGCAGATGTAATATTAAAGAAGCATAACTACGCCACCCAACTTTCACCTACGTGTTAGTTAATCATTATCCTGCTGTTGGTGCTGGAGGCCATGAAAACGACCTCCTTGGATTTTAATCAGGAGACGAGAAGGGAGCGCATGCTGTTGGCTGCAGCTTGTATGAAGTGATGACATGTGAAAATTGTGATTGCATCCCCTCCAGTGTTAATTAATTTAACATTACCTTCTATAGACTGCTTCATTCAGCTGCATCGTGTAATCAGCACCTCTCCTGGTAACACCCACGCTTTGCTTAGGCCATTCCCACTTCATCCCGGTAAACTTGGCTGCTGCAGCTTCAATGTGCTAATAAACACAGAAACAAAGGCTGCAGATGCTTAAGTTGGTGTTTAAAACCTAAAAGTGAGCCTGGAGAAATGATATTTGAGTCTAAAGAAGATTTCTTCTGACTTAATATGCAAGATCAGGGATCTGTTGGGAGGTAAAAGCGCTGCTTCTCCACGGTCTGTTTAACCACATTTGTCTCTTATGTGCATACACATGAGTTCCTCTCCATGCATTAAACATGGAGCAGTTGAAGGGGAGAACATGGGAATACTGCTCATGCTCCTGATGGGAGAGTAATATCCAGGTAAATGCTGAGTAATTTGCGGGAGCTGGTGTCGCCTGTGTTATCGTATTCCTGTGCATGTTTCTTAGATGAAAAATGTAAATTGTTCACATATTAACTAAACAATATTTATGAAAAGACACTATCAGCAAGGGCTTAAGGAGCGTGTGTGTGAATTATGTTGTAAAGGTCAGAGGTCATGGAGATGTTCAGAGTTTTGTGTAAAAAGCCTCAAAAATCAGGTTTTAAAATGAGAATCATCCCCAGGCGACTCACCATCTTAGATAACCTTAGGTGTTTGTAATTGCATTTATTATAATATATCATTATCAACACCCAGCTGCAGCCTGTCCACAAGCCTCTCACCCTACAGCTGCTGCAGATCCCCAAGACCCTACCCAGGAAAGAGAGTGGACATTAGATCCTCCACAATCAGTTCAAACTTGCAGTTTAGAGCTGTTGTGTTTCTAATCGCTTTTGTTATTATAATTTGACTATAGTCAAAACATGTGAAAACAAGCAAATAAGACCAGATTTTCCAATTATTAAATTGAGTTTCTACCCAATCAATGGAAAAGCCTCATTGCACGTTTTTATTTTCTCTCCATCCTCAAAACTCAAAAGAAAACACTCCGGGGACTTTTCCCTGCTGTGACGCAGCTGTCCAGCAGAGGGCACTGTCGGCGCGCGGTCACAGACTGAATACCAATTAGTTCCGGCCCTTTTCACGCGCGTTCACGCGCGTGGTTTATTAGCGTGGGGACTTTCCTGAGGTGTGTCTTTCATCCCAGGGACGTAATCATGTGACTGGTGAAGATTTTCCCGCTTTTAATCATCAGTTTCAGTTAAACTCAAGATTTGGACACAAGAAAGAGGCAAGCAGCTTTTTGCTTCTCAAAGGTTCAGAGTCAGTAAAAACAAACAAAACAACTAATTGTGTATATAATTTGTATTAAATAATTTAAACTTTGATATTTAAAGCTACGCCTATTAGTTTGAAATTAGGTTTTCTTTTTTGATTTAATCTGCTTATTTGGACAGCAAACAAACCAGAAGTAGGCAGTGAAGTGTTGTTTAGTCATGTGTGACCTGACCTGCAGGGTTTTGCCCTGAAACCAGTGAGTGCTAAACTCATAGGTATCTCTGAGAGCTCGTGGTTTTGGTGGAAACTCGGCTTCAAGGACGGCACTGCAAAAACTGATTTCTAAGAAAGTTTTTTAAAAGATAATTTTTTTAGACGTTTTGTCTTATTTTTAGTCTAAAAAAGAAAAAAATTACTAAAATAGAATTACGTAAAAAAATCAGATTATCACAGATGATGACCCAGTTAAACATGTTTAATGCACTGATCAAAGTTTCCTTATGTGCTCGTGAAGGCATTCCAGGTTTCACCTCTTCAGAGGACTATTTTAGTTTAGAAAAGTTTATGAATTAAAATAAACTTTTCAGACTCAGAGGTCATTTGCTTAATTCTGTTAAACCAAGAAAACTTTCTAGAAAGTGTAAAAATAAACCAGATTATAAATAACTCAAATTAAAGTAAGTGTGATCCCCAAATCTTCATAACAAGAAACAGACATATTACTGGTTATTAATTATTATTATGGTCGATATTAATAGTGATGCTTTCCCACGAGGTATGTGACTTTATCAGATGTGGCATTATGGGATAGGTAGAGCAAATACACAAAACAATGGCTGTTGGCACACTAACTCAACAACCTGTCGACGGGAAGTCCTGCAGAAGAAAACCTGTTTCCTTCCTGCTTGTGTGCTGCTGTGGTCCAGAGTTTTATCTGGGGAAGATTTCACTGTTTACTAAATACATTCAATACAAAATTTAACAAATTAAAATTAATTTAACACATTGAATCCAAAATTTAACACATTTTAAACTAAATTTACCACATTTCAAACTAAATTTAATGCATTTAATACTAAATTTAACAACTTTTTTTACAAAATTGAATAGATTTAATGCCAAATTGAACACATTAAATAGTAAATTTAACACATTTAATACACAATTTTACACATTTAAAACTGCATTTAATGCATTTAATACGAAACTTAAAACTTTCAACACCAACTTTAACACATTTACTAATAAATGTTTTCATTCAGAAGGAGCAGTGTGGTTTTCGTCCTGGCCATAGAACACTGGACCGGCTCTGTACCCTTAGGGGGGTCCTGGAGGGTGCGTGGGAGTTCGCCCAGCCAATCTACGTGTGTTTTGTGGATTTGGAGAAGGCGTGCAACAGCGTCTCTCGGGAGGTCCCGTTGGGGGGGGCAGGTCCTCTGATATGGGCTGTTAGGTCTCTGTATGACCGGTGTCAGAGCTTGGTCCACATTGCGGGCAAGTAAGTCGAGCTCATTCCTGGTGAGAGTTGGACTCCGCCAAGGCCGCCCTTTGTCACTGATGTTGTTCATAACTTTAATGGACAGGATTTAGATGCAGCCAGGTTGTTGAGGGGATCCATTTTGATGGCCTGAGGATCAGGTGTCTGCTTTTTGCAGATGATGTGGCTTCATCAGACCATGATCTTCAGCTCTCGTTGGAGTGGCTTACAGCCGAGTGTGAAGCCTTCTCCAGGTCGGGCCTTCTCGAGGTTCTGCCCCAAGTGGATTAGTATAAGTATATCAGGGTCTTGTTCACGAGTGAGGGAACGATGAAGCATGAGATAGACAGGCGGATTGGTGCTGCATCTGCAGTGATGCGGGCGTTGTACCGGTCTGTCGTGGTGAAGAGAGAGCTGAGCCAGAAGGTGAAGCTCTCGATTTACCGGTCGATCTACGTTCCTGCCCTCACCTATGGTCACGAGCTTTGGGTAGTGACCGAAAGAACGAGATCGCGGATACAAGCGGCCGAAATGAGTTTTCTCGGCAGGGTGTCTGGATAGGGTGAGAAGCTTGGTCATCCGGGAGGGGCGCAGAGTAGATCCGATGCTCCTCCACATCGAGAGGAGCCAGTTGAGGTGGCTCGGGCACTTAGATGGGATGTCTCCTGGACGCCTCCCTGGTGAGGTTTTCCGGGCCCGTCCAACTGGGAGGAGACCCAAGGGAAGACCCAGGACACGCTGGAGGACCGTGGTTCTCAACTGGCCAGGGAACGCCTTGGGATTCTCCCGGAGGAGCTGGCCTAAGTGGCTGGGGAGAGGGAAGTCTGGACCTCTCTGCTTAGGCTGCTGCCCCGCGACCCGACCCCAGATTAGAGGCCGGAAGTGGATGGATGGACGGACTAATAAATCTATCACATTTAATACAAATATTAGATTTTATACAAATCCAGCTGCTAAATGAAAAACAATACTCAACCCATAAAAATGATCTTTTTTAAATGTATTTTTTATGCAGCAAGAAAACAAGAAAGTGTGAATGGGTTAGATTTCTTCTCAAGATATTTCGGAGCGCTGCAGCAAAGCTGAGAAGAAGTAGGTGGAAAAGGAAAAGAGGAGGAGAAGAAAGATGAATGCAGTGATGTCAGTCCGTCCCACTGCTGCTGAGTACAAATACAGCAGAGAAGAGTTGAGCCTGCATTCCACTGCTGCGGAAACCACACACACACACACACACACACACACACACACACACTTTAACGTCACACACTCATCATTCCAGAGCCACGCTGAGAATCAGAGCAGAGCTGAGCGATGCTACCGGCTGGCAGCCACTGAGTAAGTCCACTCTCTCTCCTCTCAGCTCTTCCTCCTTTCTTTTTCTTTCTTTCTCTGCTCGTCTTTGTTGTTTGATCGCTATTCCACGGCCCGTCCAAGTCCATTTATCTCTAACACTCCTCTCTGCTGCTGGGATAGGGCCAGTGTTTGCTCAGACTGAGAGACTTTCAAACTTTTCTCTCAGTATGCCATGCACACCTCTCTCTCTCTCTCTCTCTCTCTCTCATTCTCCTCTCAGCATGTGAGGCTGAGGCAAACCCCTCACTGCCCTTCACACTGGTTATAAATGACATATTTAGCTATGTGAGTGTGTGATTGTGCTCCAGTGGGCTGATTTTCTTCATTTAGGAAAGACTTTTTGCTAAAATTGAACAGTTTGACTGAATTAAGTAGCTCTTTTGGGTGTAAGACTAATGCTTTACACCCATAATCTTCCATAAACCAGGCTGGTCACTTCTAGCTCCTGGCTGTAAAGTCTCATAGCTTTAGTGGTTCTACAGGCTGAGACTGAAATTAGCTTCTCTGTTTAAACAAAAGCCAGTGAGACTTGTGTGAAATTCTCTGATGAGGGGGGCAAGATAATTAGACGTGCTGCAGAGTTGAGTGAATGGACACTGACTACACCGAGGCTTCCAGACAAAGCCCTGGCCTCTGGTCATTTTGTAGGAAATTAGATGGGAACTCTTCCTTAAATCTAAGGTGTAGCGTTCAGGAAGGAAAGGCACATAATGTCACAGTTTCAAACAAGGTCCTTGGAGACCTGTTGGCACCATTCTGGGAAAAAAACTGGCTGAATTTGACCATTTTGGTGTTTGCTGGTGTCGACCTGGACCATCGTTGGTACGAGGCTCTCAGGGAAGTCCGGTCAGCTGAGGTCTGGGTTGGTGATCGCTCACAGAGGACACAGGTTTCTGTTGGCCCGCGTTCAGAAAGTCAACTGCTCTGCATTTTTCAAACCGTGTTTGAAGAGTGGAATGCTCGGGCTAAACAGCTTCCTATTGGCTCCCAGCAGAGAGGACAGGTGCCAGGAGGGCTGATAGGGAGGGGTCTGTAAAACATTGACCAACGCTACTGAAGTCATCTGTTGCTCACAGATAGCGTGGAGTTATTATAACCTCGTGTGTGTGTGTGTGTGTGTGTGTGTTATACTGAGACTGCTCCCTTTTGCCCTCCAGTGTGTGAAAGCCCAGCAGACGCCAGTATTGAGCTATTATTTGCTGTAGGGCTGCAGTGCAGGACAGCAGGTCTAATGTCTCTGTTTTTGTGAAACAGCAGCAGCAGCCTTCTGGACCGCAGAGAACTCTGCAGTGACCTGCTCCTGCAGTCAAGACTGCTCCTAATCCAGGAGCCTTCAGAGAAAAGGGAACCTGACTCTGAGCGCCGCCGCCACTGCTGCTGAAACACAAACCCGCCAGCCGTCCCCGACACCCGGAAGAACGCAGGCGAGATGCTGGCTAAAATCCTCAAGGACATGTGGGTGGACCCGGAGGTGCTGGAGGCCCTCAACGAGGAGCAGAAGCAGATCCTCTTCCTGAAGATGAGACAGGAGCAGGTACGCCGCTGGAAGGAACGAGAAGAGAAGGAGACGAGGGAAGGAGGGGACAGCTACAGACCCAGAAAAGGTAGAACACCTTTCAGGTTCACATCCGTGTCATTCCACAAAACAAAAGTAACCCGTAGAGCTGCAGGAATGCAGAACATGTGACTGGAGGAGCAACATTGCTGTGATAATGATGTGGCTGGGCTGTCTCGTGAACCTGAGGTTGACGGTAACTCAGCTTTCAGGAAATCAGACCCAGTTATGTAACATTACATCACACCAGAATGATTAAATAAATGAGTGCATTCCTGGCCAGTAATACTTCTGTTCTGAGTTATCAAACTAACCCCCGAACCGCACGTTTCATTTCAATGAAACTCTCAGACAGGAACCCTTAAAGGCAGAGTGGATGTCATTGGAAAAAGAAGTTTGAGTCAGCGAAGGTCCAACCCTCTTTCTTCAGGCTCCTCCCCTAAGATCATATTATCTGATTGTCACAAAATATGGCATAACACCGGACGCAAGGTCTTCTGTCAAACAAAACGTTATCTTACCTCTTTGACCTGTGGTCGGCACCTTTTCTGCCATAATTCCTAACCTTACCTAACCGCTGCAGAGCCTCCAGGCTTGTTACCGACTCCTCATGGTCCGGTACCGGTCCGGAGTGCTCCGGACTCTGTACCTATATCCAGCATGGAGGACTGGGCTTATCTCAATAGAAACCCCCTCTGCTACTTCTGCTCATAATCATATAATAGTTTAGTATAGTAGCTAATATAGCTAGCCCGTCTCTGGCTTCACTTCCTGTTGAGCTGCTCCAAGGTGAGAACCAGTGGCTGTAAAAGAATATGGACAAACCCTCCGTGACATCACCCATTGACTTTCTGAGGCTTTAGCTTAAAGCCTAGTGGGCGGTTCTGATCACCACCATCGTGGCCACGTCACACATTTAGACACTCCCTGACAAATAAAAAATGGTGCGAAGCTGAAAGCAGATCTCTGAGAATCGGAGTCCGCTGCCGCCCCTGGCTACATGCTAACTGAAGCTAACTGAGGTTTGCGGGCACTTTTAGTCAGGAGAACGCATCTCCAACGTGAAGCCAGCATCAGCACAGAGCTGCGGCGCTTCTGTGGTCTTCCCCTGAGAGCTCCACAGATTGTTGTCTGGACAGCCTCAGACCACAGCGATCTGAGCCGACCACCCAGGCCGCATGAGCCCATGCTCCACTGCTCTGCAGCAGTCAGAGTACAGGGCTCTGGCCACGTCAGGTGGTGGCGGAGTCAGGCAGGGGTGTCTGGCGCCAACCCAGGGAGACGGTACCGAGTCTTTGTACCCAGGCCTACCAACTTGTTAAACTTCAGCCCATTTTCATCACGCAGTGTTATGTTAAATGCACATAATTATCCTCCGTTCAACCAGCGAAATAAAGCACAGAAATATAAATTTACTCATCAATAAAAATTAAGCAGATGCTTCGGGGATGATCTCCCAGCGTAATCAATACCACAGCTTGCCATCTTTGTCTAATGATTTCATTATCAATATCCAAGCACAAACACACAGAAGACACAAGCTCAGAGAGTCAAAATGGCCGAACATCTGTTAACGTGAGGCCCAGGCTGAGGGCTTCCTCAAAGCTAGCTGCTAGCGCTAGCTCTGATGCTCCTGCTACCTGTCAATCAAACCCCAATTATTCATAATTTTAAGCATTTAATTAACCTAAACGAAAGAGTTACAAAAGAATTCACCCCCCTCAGACATGACTGTAAACTAGATCCATTAATCATAAAGTGGTTTTGAACGAGGCTGTAAACACGCTGATTTCTGCTGTGAAGTTGGCCATTTGAACATGGGAGTCAACAGGAACTTTCTCTGAATCGGAGCCAGCCCCTAGAGGATGGGTGTTTCTCAATGTCAAGGCGCCTTGCTTACGAGGACACGGTCCTTCCTTGGTCAAAGAAAACTGTTAAATGGAACAGACCTGCATCACGTGACCGCGGCTTCCACAGCGGTCACATAACGTCACGTGACACGGGAGCTAACGTTATATTTTATACGTATTAGTTTCAATATAAATATATAATGAGCCTTTTACTTTTTAAATTGTGCATTTGTTTATTAAATTAAATTTATAAGTGAGTTACTACCCGCTAGCCACCGAAGCTGCAACTACTAAGCAACTAACCAACCATAGATAACTTCGTTCAATCTAAAAACCATTTTAAACTAGTTGGCTTACTTTTAAACTTGAAAATTCGCCCCCGAAGTAGCTGCCAGCTTCTGATCCGCCATCCTTTTGAAAATACTGCGATGTATTCTGGGTAGTTTTTGACCAAGGCTAGGCTACAAGACACCTCTCGTGTATTCTTGCTCAGCTAGCTAAACGGCTAACAAACGGAGAACACCAGCCTTGGTAGAACATGAACATTGGAACACGTCTCGACTGCTCCCGATTACGTATCTCCTAGGCAACCGGGGCGGGGCCAAGACATCAAGGCACGGTTCCTTGTCATTGAGAAACACCCTTCGAGAGGAGAAGTGCAGTATAAGTCACTTCCTGGTTGGCTTCACTAGCCTGGCCTGCCAGACCCCTCCTCTGTTTAACTCTGCCGAGAAAGAGTCTGGTTACTCACAGGCAGAGAAGCACATGAGGGGCGGGACCAGCCAGCTCAAAAATAAGCAATCAGAAAAAGACAGAAATGCTGACTGTACCATGCGACGCTGTAGTTTTTTTTTTAGCTGTAGTCAAACATGGAGTCTGGCGACAGCGCAACACTCTGTCTTTAGAAGAAAGGCTTTTAGCGCTTCTACTTGTTGTGGACATGTCCACGTTATTTAGAACAAAGGAAAGAGCCGCAGCAAACTCCGCTTCAGTCGCCATGTTTATGAAAAACTCGGCGTTGTGGTGTGTGACGTATACGCTGCTCAGCGCTGATTGGCTCGGTTAGAATTCTCAGGGGGCGGGGTTATTTGAATAGGAGAGTTCCCAGACTCGTTCTCTGTGCAGAATTAAACAGAGGAGGAGTCTGGCAGGCCAGGCTGTGGCTTCACAGGTTTCAGACAGGCTGCCCCTTGATGAAACGTCATTTCTGCACAGAGAGGCTGCGTGGAGGGGTGGTCAGAGGATGTGCACAGTGATTTGGTGAGATTTGTCCAGGACTGTACTTTTCAGAGACCATTTAAAATCATTCACTTTTTGAAAAAACATTAAATTTATTGGTTGCTATTGGAATGTAAAGAGCATTTCGAGCGATCTGGCAAAAATGCTCCATAAAAATACAAACTCCTGCACCTTGAAATGGACTCGGTCCAATTCAAGTGGTGAAGCGACAAACAGAAGAAAGCAGCTGGCGAACATACGGCACGTGTTTCATGTTACGTTGTGCTTATTATTTCATGTGCAGTAGCTGATCCCTACTCGTGTGGTTTTGGAGCTACCAACCAACATGTAGTAAACCGATCCTCGTGTGCTCCTCTACGTCTAATTAAGGCTGAAGTCTTCTGAACTCGTAGTGCAAATGAAAGCTATCACCTTACCAATCTGATTAAGTGTCCATGTTGGGCCTTTAGCCTGTCTAACCTCATCGCACCCGACCCTGTCATCCTAGGTGTGTGTGTGTGTGCGCGCGCGCGAGTGTGTGTGTGTGTGTTTGCCTGTTAAAGTGTCTTGTGAGCTGAAACCTGCACAGGACTGTGTAAAGCCGGTGGTTTGGTGGAGACGCCACGCTTTCATCTGCAGATCAGGTGTCTACCCAATCTGTCACCTGAGAGGAGACTACCTGTGTTGCACCTGTGTCTTACCGTGATGGGCTTCTTCAGATATAACACGATTTTTGTGTTTCTGGACGAGCCCTTCAGCTCCAACTTCTAATGACGTCCTTTTTGTTTCTGGTTAATTTGTGAACACATGAGCGTCATCTCACACCTTGGATAGGTAACCAACCGTATAGGTGAACGTGAAGAGGTGTGATTCATGTCAGAGACGGCTGTGACATCAGACTAAATCATAAAAACACAAACACACTCACAGAATGCGGCTTCTACAACAACAATCCCTCATCTGTGATGTCACAGTCTGAGTTTGATCTTTATCAGATCATCTAAGTGATCTCATTCGCTGTCAGGTGAGATTTATTTTTGTCCCTCTGAGGTAAGAAGGAAAACTACCCTGCTGATGATGCGGTTTACTAGTTGGTTAAAAATAAACAAATATGTGTTGCCTAACTTTATTTCTTCATGAGAGGATTACAATGAACAACAAAAGACGTCCACGCAGCACCGTTTTCATGTCCAATTCTAATTATTTATTTGTTTAATTTGTGTTTTAATTATTTATTCATTGTAGTTTTAATTTAAGAAAATCTGTTATATAAAAATTGAATGAACACAAACAGAAAACTCATCAGAGGGTTAAGCTGCTGTTTACTTGTCAGACACTGCCACCTACTGGTTAATAACAGAACAACAGCCACTGAGACGCCTCTTTCGAGTCTTTAATAATCCTTTTTGTTTCCTTCCTCCAACAGTTTACAGAAAACGTGTGACCTGGCTGCTTGGCCGGGATGGAGACGTGAGCGTGAGCATCATTGGAGAGGAAGATGAATTCAGGTCTTGCAAACTCCTCAAGAACCTCAACAGGTAGAAAATCTGCTTTCATGGCAGACTCAACAAAGGGCTATAGCTAACATTTTAATACTGAAACGAACATATTCTCATAAATTAATTAACATTGTTGTGTAAGCTTTTTTAATTTTCACACAAAAGTAGAGATAAATTATCTCTGGGCTTAGATGAGAAAAGTCGGCTCAACCGGTCAGCAGAAAAATGTTTTATTACGTATTCAAACCGTTTTGATTTTTTTTTTTACGTGTCTGTGAAACGCAAAAACAGTTCATGTCTAGCTCCAGAATGCCTCAGTTTGGAGAAACAGTTTACATCTAACATGATTGATGTGCTAACGGATAGTTTGAGCACAGATGAAAATGGCTCCAGCCTCAGAAATTTCCGGTTTTTGTTGAGCTTCAATTTCCTGTATTTATGTTCATGGATGTCTCTAATTAGGGTTAGGGTTACAAGCTCAAATGTTGCCATGGTTACTACCTACGGATGGGTACCTTTCAAATCTGAATACATTTTGTACCGATTCACGGTACCAAGGAATCAATACTCATACTTAATGGTACCTATTTTTGATATTTTTGTGTGTTTAATTTACTCATTCACTGCCATTGACGACTAAAGTTGTCATTTGCATTTTTTTTACTGTGTGGGCGTCGGACGAGCCCCCGCACCGTGAGAACAAACATCTCAGCTCTAAAGCCGATCTTCATCAGCGTACGTCACACGTCATGTGATCAGGAAGCAGAACATCCATATGTTAGGAGATCGTTTTGGGCCGCTGCTGTAAAAATAAGTGAGGCACGAACCGGAAAAGCTTCTGCCGATCACGATTCAACAACGGATCATTAAAGAACAGATAACTCTTGAAACGTGCAGATTCTTCCTGATGTAAGAGGTGAGTCTCCGCTTTGTTTTGGTTGTTTTGGCGTCGACATCATCCTAGCGCGCAATGTTCTGTTACTCTTAAAAAAACAGTAAAAACGGTGAGAAACGCTGGCGGCGAAGGCCGTTAATTCCATTTTTTTATTCAAGACATAATTGTTAAACAAAATCTAAATAATACAATTAATGAGTAAAGAAATAATCAGAATAAAATAAACATGTTTCTTCGCGTCAGCTCTGAGGAAGTTTTGCAGTCGGCAAACGAAACTGTCAGCAAGGTAAAAAAAACTTTTCTGTGTCATAAAAAATAACTAAAAATGAAACAAACGTTTCTGCTGCTCACCGTTTAAAAAAGTTTTATCTCCATAGTTTTTTGTGAACACAGCAACAGGATGAATTAAACAAAAAAAATACATTTTAAAATAAACTTTGAACTAACATTTCAAATAACTGATCAGTATTTTTCTGAAATGTTTGTTTTTGTAAAATTTAAGTTACATGTTTTGGATACGTACTGTTATTTTAAATAATAACGAATAAAGAAGCAATGCAATACATCACAACACGCTAAACTCTCCCAGAGTTACCACAAGGACCAGTTTGGTGTGCCACCCCAAAATTTTCCTTGGCCCTGTCTGGCCACCCCTATCAAAATTTTCTGGAGGCGCCCCTGGCGCATGCAGTAGAATCAGAACTAGTGACAACAACCATCGAGACTGCTCCGCTTCCACCTAGGAAGCGGTTGAAGTGTGGGAATGATAAATGACCCACACCTATATGGCGCCTTTCAGAGTCAGAGGACTCCAAAGCGTTTTAACCTACAGTGTACCATTCATCCATTCACACACACATTCACACACTGGTGGTGATGAGCTACAATGTAGCCACAGCTGCCCTGGGGTGCACTGACAGAGGCTAATTGTCAGAATATATCTAAAATATTCCCAAACAGGAGACTTAAGTCGCTTCCTAGGCGGAAACGGAGCAGTCTCGATGGTTGTTATCACTAGCTCTGCTGCACGCGCACGTTCAGTTTCACTTTCGTGCGGGTCACGCTATTGTCTTTTTTTATAGGCGGTGTTGGAAACGTCTTTACGGTGGGTTAACCGGGTTAATAGTCAAACCGGTTAATCCCTGCAACCCTACCATTAGCTGATGTTAACAAATACCAAGCTAACGTTATCTTAGATGATTTATTTACCTGCTGGAGCAGATTAAGACGATGATGCTTCACTTAGATCGTCGTCCATTACACAGTCACCCATCGCATTTAGTGGAGTGGTCCCAAACTTCAGAGCGCTTTCTCTGTCATGCCGATTGCTCTGTTTACGGCTTGCCCACAGCGACTGGCGTCGGCGCTGCTGTCCATCTTGGCAAATGGCTGTCTCACAAGTTCTCGTTAATGAAGGACAGGAACCGAAACATAGCACCGCTTCACATCATGTGATTTTGTCCTCGGTCGGTACCTTCAAAAGTACCAAATTCGGTGTCCGTCCCTTCTACTACCACAGATGAAAGTATTCCATATGGTTGATTTAGGGTGATTTGGGGCAGCATCGATGCATTTCTTCTCTGCTGAGCTTCGATCAGCCACTAGCAGTCAGACAGGAACTCTATTTCTCCAAACTGAGGCTGTTAGCTGCTTTCAGTTGCTACGTCATAACTTTAACACAGAAGCCCGTTAAACTAGCTTGTCTGTGTTAAAATCCTGGTTTCATTAATGAGATATGGGGTGAAGAGAGGCGCGTTTGCTTGTTGTCGCATCGCGGAGTGCAGGATTGATCCTGAGGTTGGGATGGAGATCTGTGGAGCTGAACACAGATGTCTTTGTCTTGCAGACTCCACAGTGATAGTATGAATGGCATCCAGACGGTGGACTTGCTGCCAGAAAGAGAGGCCCAGCAGCTCAGCTTCAAAGACGGCATCAAGCTGCCCGTCACAGATATCAATGTGAGTCCCGGTGCACGTGCACGGCTTTTTTCCTTTTAATATATAGGATGACCGGTGTGATCATCAAATCTGCCCGCAGACACAGGAAGACTCGACGTCAGCAGAAGACCAGTCGTCTGAGGAGGACTCCCGCAGCGCGGACAACCTGAAGGACCCCGCTGAGGACAGCAGCGACTGTGAGTCAGGCAGCGGCTCGGACTGCGTTAGCGTTGTTTTCTACAGGCCCCATCACTGTAACCATGGCAACCAGCCGCTCAAAGCCCCACCGTTAGACACAGAGATGGCCAGCATACAGGACAGAGGTGAGAAAACAGGAATGAGTGGACGAGGTGGAATAGATGATTCATGCCTATTTGTGTTGAGAAGTAAAAGTCTAAGAGACAGACAGGTGTTTCACTTACGCTCGTCTGACCCCCACCCCCGTAAAACAATTAGGCTTGCAAAACAACATTTCTTGAAGCTTGGTCTCTCCTCTCTCTTTTTTCCAGAAACGCCCCCTCACAGTGAGAGGTCAGAATGCAGTGGTCACGTGGCGCAACTCAGGAGGGTGTTCACGGATGATCCTCACAGGAAACCACCTACCTGCTGGAAACCGCCCATACCTGCCAAACCTGCTCATCTGCAGAGAGGAGCCCAACACTGATCCACCCGAACTCGGTGTGATTCCGCCCTGCAGCAGGACAAGAACTTAGAGCTCAGTTACACTGCAGCAGTCCTCTGTGGAACCAGATGCACCGATCATCTTTAGCTTTACAGGATCTAAGGTGAAGGACTCACCTGCAGACAGAGAAGAGCTGGACTGAGGCTGTGCACTAAACTCAGACTTTATGAAACCACTTTCAGCTGATTTTCAGACTATGATGTTGACAAAGTGGTGGAAACTGAAGTGTACACGCCACACAGACACAATCAATGTAACTTATCCCTGCACTGGTTTTATCGCTGCTGATACTCACTGGAACGGAGCCTTTCTTTCAAGTGACGTGGGAGGTCTGGGGAATCCAACAAAGCAAATAAATTCACTGAAAGCATTCAAACACACTGGATATATTCTACCTCTGGGCTAAGGGGCATCTTCATACCAGTTTTCTCATGAACCACACATGTTTGGCTTGGTGTTTGCTGAAGAACAGTTCATTCAACTGACAATTATTTTTGAGGGGCACAATGATTATTGGTTCATTTGTAATTGAACAAAGCAGACTTTACAACTACACTTGTAACATGAAAATAAAAACCATGCAATTTAATTATGACACCCAAACAGCAGCTTGTCACAACTAAACAAACCCCTAGGTGTTTATTGTCTGCATGTCCAGTTCTTCAAATATCCACATTCCCTCCCAGGATGACTTCTACCTCTGGAGAACAACAGGCACGAAATACTGAACCTCGTCAGAATTTCCTGGAAACTTTAAAGAGACGATGTGTTGTTTTTACCGTTAATCTCTGAAAATATCCATCGGAATGCCCAAATGTTGAAAAATATTGGCAGTTTTGTTACATATATCCATAAATATACAAGTCTAAAATACACGGGAACATGTCTAAGTCTCTGGGCGACACCACGTTTCCTTCTACGGGAGCCTATGGGGACAAAATCCATTTACTGATCGTAACAAGCGGTTACAAAACTGTCACCACTCAAATGTTGTTGTTTTACACACTACTCTTTACTCCTTGCCAGTAATGAAAAGGAGTCTGGTGTGCTTTTCATTTTGGTTTTGCTCCCAGGGATTTTTGACCCCAATGGGCATCCGTTGGTAAGGTCTCCCTCAAACACAAAAATACTGCTTGCTTGCAATGATTTAGGTATGTACTGCCCTCTATCGCCAGGGAAAATACACATTGTCACTTTAATTGTAATAGTTAGCAAGCTAAAATGCTAAATGAAGGTCAACGGATGTCAGCGCGAGAGCATTAGCATGCTAATGTTAGCATTAAGCCCTAGTCAACAGTTATTGTATCTGAAATGTGAATTTAATTAAACAGGTTTCCTACTCTGACAATCTTTCATGGGACAATTTGCAACTTTGGAAACACAAAACATTTCATTTGGCGCTATTAGTAGTAAATTAACCATTAGTAGTTGTACTTGCTATTAACAATATCGTGGCTATTGAAAGTTGGCTAGCAAGAGTGCAAATATAGGCAACAAGTAGCTGTAAAGGAACCATTTCCTCTGAGCATATTAGCATGCTAGTGTTAGCACTGAGTTACAAACACAACTGTGTATCAGGGTGTTACAAATAATATTCAAACAAAGCTTTAGTATTTGCTTTATGTAGATTTCACATTTCTTTGTATTCTTACATGTATTCACAGTATTATTGGTCATTTTGGAAACACAACAGAGTGTAAACATAGTTTCTAGGAAAAGCCTAAAAGCAGTTTCTGTTATATATTCTACCGATTGATAAAAGTTAGTAAGCTAAGATGGTAAAATGGGGAAATATATTTTTTATTTGTTTTAAACATTTACTATCAGTCATTCAGCTTAGTTTCACAACATAATTGGCAGAAGTATAAATTTAGTTATTCCTGCCTGAGGTTTAGATTTAAGCTTTTGTTTAAAGAAATGACAATAAAAAAACTCAACACTATTTCTTGAGTAGTGTTGGTATATTAGCCTGCTTATGTTAGCGCTGAGCATAAAGCTGAATATGAATCTCTCAAATATCATTCAATCAAAAAAGGTAATTGCTTGATATTTTAGCATTCTTTAGCAGAATAATTTGTAACTCAGAAAACACTTATGGTTGGCAGTTGTATCAGAAAGTGGCACGAGTAGGCAAGAATTCCTTTTCCAAGCTTTATTCGACCTGCATCAAATCTAGCAATATCAGGCATCCATCTCATTTCCACATCAGTAAATTAGACAGGCTGGACGCCCAAAAGGCACTTTGCTGCCACATCAACCACCACAACCAAACCGGCACAACCCACTGCACACAACGGACATACGGACCTCCCCACCCTGTCAGTGGCGGTTCTACATGGAATTACTCCCCAGACGAGACATCCCATGAGTTCCCCCGCTCCCCTCCCTATTCTCTTCTGCACACACACACACGGCGCTCACCTGAACCCTCTCAGTGAGCAGCGCCTGCAGCTGCAGGGGGCACCAACGTGCTGGTTCCAATCCAGACACAGTGATCTGACAGATAGAAAACCATGTCGCAGTGCACGTTTTTTTTTTTTTTTTACTCAGCGATTGTGAGCCCCCTTTGTGTCATGAAAAAATGCCAACCTGGGCAGCCGCCCGGTCTGCCTGCACCTAAAACCGCTACTGCACCCTGTGCACCCACAGAACTACAGTACAATCAACAGAACCCCCACCAGCACACACCCCACTGAACACACACACACACACACAAACCCCATAAAGAAACTTTCCCTGCACCTGTCTCCCACACCCCACCACCAACATCCACCACCAAGGGCGTCCCGTGACCCACAGCAGACTCAGACCCCCCAACCCCCTGCAAACACACAGCTCCCATACCTCCTCTGGGAACACGTCACAAAAACCCCAAAAGGCCTCCGCTAATATCAGTCACCTCGCGAGCCACATCGGACTTGTTGTATGTCACATGCTTCACCCTTCACAAAGCCTCAACCAGAAAGGACAAAAACTATCTGCCCCACCTCGACGCACCACCACCCCCAACCCCCACACGATGCACCGCCTCAGCATAAGACACCTTAAGCTCCACCTGAAGCATCTTCCACCGCCGTCCTATACGCCACATAACCCCTATAAGCTGTTTGATGGTACCCACTACAGTTACAACAACGGAGCGGAAGATCACAACATTTGCCCTCATGGTCACCCCCGCACTGCTGACATCTCACACCCACCACACAGCACCGGCCACATGCCCAAAGCCCTGACGATGAACGCACTTTAAATGAGGCTCCTCACATGCCCTGACTGAGAAACTAAGGTAGCCCAACACGACACGAGTAGGGAGCTCCACCGTGTCAAAAGTAATCAACAGCAGAGTGGATCCACGTGTGTCAAACCCAAGATGCTCAACACTCACCACTGCTGCCCCACTCACGGAGTCAAACACCTCCAACTCAGAAACGTCATTCGAAATGTTGTACATCACCCCCTTAGCCAAACAACCAGAACGCGGCTCAGAAACCACCACCCTCATAAACTCCTCAAGCGTCAGCGTCCTCAGGCACTGGGCCTTAGTCTAACATACCACTGTCAACAGCCCACTAAACACAAATGTAGCGTAAAGCACATCCCCTACCACCACGCTTAGCTTCCTGGGCACCGCTAACAGGTTTAGAGGTAGCAAAACTTGCACCATCCGCCGCCCTTATATGGACCACATAGCCGCCCTCCTCAAGCCTCTGCTGCTTCATCTGAGCATCCCAATTACCATCCGACGCATCACTGCCACCCCACAGTCCTTAGCAGCCCTCGACCCAGCCGACTGGACGACCGCACCGGTCTTACCCGCTTCCTTTTGTCCCATCTCCACTGAAAAACGAGGTTGTCTTGAAGCGAAGCCAGGCCGCCGTCTTGCCGGGCTTGTACAGGCCATTGACCTCCAAAGCCAACCTAAACCAAGCAGCCACTGCCGGACCAGCCACCAACCTTTGCTATGGACCAGTCAGGGAGAGGCAAGAACTGAAACGAGCATGGGTTCAGTCGCCCATGTTCACTTCTTCTCTCTTAGTCATTCATGGCACTTACACACTAGCATCAGCCCCACTTTGCCTGAATTGGGTTGGGATTGTTCTCATTTGGGTAGCCTTGAATTTTCAAACGCACAACTGGACGTCTTGTCAGCCCTCTCCACGAGGAGGTCTGTCTGGGGTCGAACAAGGCCGACATTCCCACTGCTGACTGATTGGCTGGCTCAAAAGCATGCCTATCATTAGAGGGAGCCTCCGATTGATGGATAGAATCAGCCCCCGGAGGCTTCCCGCATGCGCTATTTATTATCATTCTGGATGCTGTGGAGTTAACAAGCCTCTGACTGAAGCTGTTCTCTGTCCCTCACTGCTGTGAGGAGGCAGGCACACACACACACACGCACGCACACACACACACACACACACACACACACACACACACACACAGTGCTGCCAGACACAGCAAAGCAGGATGCAATATTAGAGTCAGAGTCTCCAAAAGCAAGACTGCTCAGGCCACTTTTGGTTAATAATGGAGACACCGCGGACTTCTCCTTCTCCGCGCTCTTTTTCCCCACCCATGTGCTCGGAGATGTGCTCATGACATCACAGACCACCTATGTGCTCAATCACATCTGCATTCCTACGGCAGTGTGGAACAAAGCGGCCGGGTAGAGCAGGGCGGAGTGGAGCCAATGCTAGTGTGTAAGTGGCATCACTTCCTTCCTACCCTAGGCTGCCCCTAGTGGTGGACCCAACAACTTAGATTGGCTCCATTTCAGTGAAAAACTAAACTGTGGTTCCTGGTCATTATTATGCCAAAATGCTAAAAATAGCAACCATTGTAAAATAAATGTTAATCTATGTGTGCTAACATGCTAATTTGATCCCAGACACACATAACTGTAAACCAAAACAAATAGGAAAACAAAATAAAACATCAGACATAGACATTCTTGGAAAAACTAAACCTAAACTGCAAAACTAGTAACCTATGACATCTGATTATGTTAGCATGTTATGATGCTGAAAAAATGCTAATGTGAAACTTTAATAGTTTGAATTTATTAGCATGCTAATGTTAGCACAAAGTCAAAAACAATTATATCATAGTATATCTTGAAAGCTGTTGAAACAAAATTAAGGTATTTATCATCAGTACTTCTGTTTAGATCTGTGAGCGTGTTAGCATGCTAATGTTAGCACTGACCCAATCTGACATTGTTTGGTATCAGTAAAAGCCACAGTGTTGGATACTGATGAGTTGGTAAAATATGAAAAAGGACATAGAGACGGACGGACGGACGGACGGACGGACGGACGGACGGACGGACGGACGGACGGACGGACAGACAGACAGACAGACAGATAGACAGATAGACAGATAGACAGATAGATAGATAGATAGATAGATAGATAGATAGATAGATAGATGATAGATAGATAGATAGATAGATAGATAGATAGATAGATAGATAGATAGATAGATAGATAGATAGATAGATAGATAGATAGATAGATAGATAGATAGATAGATAGATAGATAGATAGATAGATAGATAGATAGATAGAAGTGTCTGACATATAAATGATTGTTTAGTT